GATAGATAGATAGATAGATAGATAGATAGATAGATAGATAGATAGATCATAAAAAGTATCGAATTTACAAGGTCTCTTTCCATATATACACATACTGTATTTTTCTTCATGCCCTCCGTAAATCCTGCATTATTTTCTGAATGGGTATGATGACTTTACAGCATCTTCTTTCCGCTTTTCATAGCCAAGTGGTGTTAAACCAATAAGTAGCAAGGGAAAGCTTTTTGTCTTGCTCTCATGCAGGCCTGCTTAGGCTCAGTTCCTGTACCTCGCATGACCTGTACAAATAAAATAAAATCGTGCAAAGAAGACTTTTCTGTCAGTGTACATTTGTTTACATTTAAATAAGAGATTATTTTAGCAAACAGCAGGACAGTAATCCCAGTGTCATGGTCCCTATCAGAGAACAAAGTAACTTTCCTTCTGCCCTTTGTAATCCTTCCAGATTTTCTTCCTTCAAATAAACCCTTGTCTCTGGCTAAAAAGCCTTTTACAAAGAGATGGACAACATCCAAGTTAACAATAGTCCAATCTTGGGACCAGTCGACTCCTCTGATGAGGGCCAGGCAACCTTTTGAGGCTTTGAATGTAATGGATATTTTAGCCAAGACCTCCAGTTCTTTGCACTGGTAATTTTTTTAATTCTGTTTCAAAAAGCTGAATTGCAGTAAGACGATCGCCTGTGGTTGAATGTGTTTTGGCCAGGGCATTTGAAGTATATTTCACTTACAAAGCAAAAATGCAGTTTCTTCTAATTTATTAAACAAAACATCTTCTGAACTTTGGATGGCTATAGGAAATATTATTAGACATCAGTTTTATTCATATTCTGTTTATGAAACAACCACAAACACATCAGAAATAAAATAAGTATTTTTGATAGATCTAAATGAAAGATGAATGAAGAAAATCACATTCCATCATACATTTTTTAAAGTGTGCTGGATTCATAGTTTAGTGGATTGAAAACATGGAAAGGAAAAATATTTTATCTGCACTGGAGCCAGAACTCACGTGAGAACCCTGTAAAAATGGCCGTTCTCCCTGAAAGGTGAACGGCCATGTGTCCCTCCTCCAAAGGCTCCTTTGGTTTCTCCCATTGACGTGTTAGTGCAGAGCAGATGGCATTACACATAAATCCTATTACCAACTTTCTGCTGATGGAGACGCAGTGAATACAGGCCTTTTCTCATTCTTTCATCATCTCGCTTGAGAAGTCTGCTTTTTTATTTTCTAACCTTTGAAGAGTAGAAGATTAATTTGGAGGATCCAACATGTCGACAGAGAAGGTAAAAGAAAGTTGGGATTTCGTGGACATCTTCTTAATTTATTCACTAAAACAGAATTTTCTAAAATATTGTTCAATTGTTTGTGTTTGACATCAGATGATACTTGAAGAATAAAATTATGAGAGGCCACAAACTACAACAAACAACATTTTGCTCTCAATTGTCTGTTGAACAACATATACAAAGTTTGGAGTTAGAGCTCTGGGCATCCTTTAGGCAGTCTGAATTTCTGTTTGATTTAAAATTCTTACACTGTGTAGGTTTCAGTTGAGAGAATTTTGGATAATGGCAGTGGTCATCCAAAGGGCTAAAAGTACTTGAGGGATATGTTATCCTCAAGGAAGGTTTTTGCTTGATTTAAAACCTTAAAGTCATCTGCTGGGAGCATGGGCTACCCTTTAAACTGACTTTTATTTACACTTCATTAAGTAGTTTTAGAACTTGTCTGTAATTCAGCCCTAAAACATGAGCAAATAAGTGTTGGCAGTCCTGCCATTTGAATCATGCATACTGCTATTGAGGTGTTATCCAAAGTAACTTCAACTGCAAAAGCCTTTCCTTTACAATGCTATGTCATTTGAAACTGGTATACTTAGGCACTTCAATAGTATGTTTTTTATCACTATCCTCATACACGTACTCAACCATTTTGCCTTCAGAAATAAGAAGCAAAAGGAAATGGTAAAATGAACCCCAACTTTTTTTTTTTCTATTCAATATTTAAGGTCATACAAATAGACGGTAATCATCAGTCTGTATGAGTAAATCTGAGTGCTGAATTTCAACAATGAAGTAAAGCATGCTGTTTATCAGTGACTTAAAGTAAAGCCCATGCTTTCCCATGTATAGTTCTTATTAATCAATTTATCAATATGCAAACCAACCATTTAAAGGATATGTTTAACAACATTCAAACTCACATTACTCCAAGTTTGGACTTCATTCGGACACAAATAGGTGTACATGGATCCATGATCTGCATCTAATAGGATTACATACTCTGTTTCCGCCAAGTACAATCACACTGACCTCGTTCTTTGTGACTTGGACAGCGATTTATTGCTCATGTGCAAATGTTTAGCAGTCAGTGAAAGTGTGCTTACTGAAGGCAAATTAAAACTCAACTTTTAATTAAGATACCCTAGCAGTGTTTTTTGAAAATCACTATGAATGCAAACTATAGCATCAGCAACTTCTCAGTGTTGTCCAAGGACAAAATGGAGAGGCCAAAGGGTCAGTGGTTTACAGACCCCTTTGGACTTCAAACTTCATCTTAAGCTTGTGTCTAGACTCACATTGACTGAAGGTTATGTTGTAAAGCATAGAGATAGAATGGCTAGCAGATGAATCGTTAAGAGGACATGAAAACAATTATTTGAATTTGAATTATTAGTAATATTTAACAGATAAATCACAGAGTAAATCCATCCAAAGAAACTTTCCACGCATCTCCTTTTGACTGCATTTACAATTAACATAGCTTTTTTGCTTCCTGGCTTATTAGCAGGTGTTATTGTTACTTAAGGCATGGGATTTTGTCTTACATCACATAGGAAGGTAAACCTGGGTGACTTCACTTTGATGTTTATATCTTATGTTTCCGTCTTAGTACTTAGTCATTGGCCAAAATCTTACATAAAGCACTTACTAAACCTGAATTATATGTTCAGAATAGTAGAACAATTAAGACATTGATTTGAAATTTTGATTATATGATTTCTCTTTATCTTCCTCTGATTGTCTCCATGCTCCTCTCTTTCCATCATCGCTAACTTTTTAATGGTGAGTTATTGATGCTCTTTCCAATACTTCTTTCAAGATGTTTAACCTGCATGAACTTTATTTGTTATCTCAGAGCCCATGTATTTTTTTTTTTATGAAACCATAAATCAAACTGTAGTCTTTGTTTCATCTTAAAAGAAAATCCATAGAAGCCGAAAAAGAAGAAAGAGCAGGCCAATGGCACAAGTGAAGCCAAGCTGAATGGAACTGAGGCCAAACCCAAAAAAACTAAAACAAAGAAAAGCGAAGATGTAGTTGAAGAGGACAATTCCACCACCCAAAGTAAGGCACATGTGGGAGATTGACAGTAAAAAAAGAGATGGAAAACAGTTGTTGTCCTGTGATCTGACACATCATCGCTGTCTTTCAACGATATAGATGGAAAGAAGGTAAAGAAAAAGAAACTGGAAAAAGACAAAGAAGAAAAAGAACAAGAAAAAGAAAAAGAAAAGGAGCCAAAAAAGAAAGCCAAAAGTGTTCCAAAAAAGAAGAAAGGTAAATCTTTAATCCAAAATAAATAAATAAAAACTCCCATTTATGGTTTACAACACGATTGTGTTTACTTTGCTTTAGGTTCAGACTCAGACTCAGATGATGATGATGAAGAGGAGGAAACCCCAAAAAAGAAAACAAAGAAAAAAACGACAAAGGACAGCTCTCCATCTGCAAGTTCAGCTAAAGAGAAAAAATCTAAATCCAAAGGTAAGAATAATCTGTGGCGCGAATATGACTCTAGGAAATGTTATCCACTCTGGCTCATACTGTCTCATACTGTGCATTCCATGTTGATTTTCTACAAACTAAATAAACAGAATACCAATAGTAAACACATTAATATGAAAATACATGCGTTTATTTCCACTCACTTACTTAAATCCACAGAAGCTACCATGATATAAATGTATGGATATGTCAGTATCATCCCGTAGAGAGCTGTGCGGGGCTGGAGTCAGTAAAATGGACTCACAACCCCACCAAGCACACACACTTGCATTCAGTCACACCTCAGTCCTGTTTTGAGGCGCCTCTTGACCTAACAAGTCTTTGCACCGTTCGAGGAAACCTGACATTTGCCAAAGTCGACGCCACAGCACCACCTAAGGCATTAAGTGTGTGCTTAAAACAACAGTTATATGACCAGATTGTGGGTAAGAAGATTAGATCATTTTATTGTGTAATGGTGACTGAGTGGAAACAGAGTTGGCGGCACAAGCACAAAACACAACAGTTAAGACAGGCGTTTACACTTAAGTAATTGACTGTAGAATATGTAAGTGCAAATAGGAATGGACAAAAAAATCCTGTTATTTTGTGTGTAATAATATCGGTTATGAAGGTAGTCATGTGGATAAAGCCTGACTCTTCTGTTTAAGTTTCTGCTTTTACCTGTTTTTTAAGGAGTTTTGGAGCAAATTGTGCTTGAATGGAGGAAAAACGTTGCTATTGATTACCCACTCTAAGAATTCAAATAAAATAGATATGTGTTGTTTTTCCGAAAAGGATATATGATTTTTAGTTTATGTTGTTTTTCTCAACTTCAACTTGGATGGGATTAAATTTTGCATCGTGTCCATCAACCTGGGCTCAGTAAACAAGTGTTAGTCATGCAATGCAGATCTTTTTAATACTGTACACTGGGGAAAATGTAGAAACCGCCAGTGCTTTGATTGTCAATAAACACTGTGCATATGGTTGTTAGAGGTTTAAGCCTGCTAGCTTATCACATGACTTGTGTAGTTGTGGTGTTGTGTTTAGATCACCCCCAAGTGACCAAAGAGTTATATTACATTCTAAATTTCACCCTAAATTGGTTTTCTTCCAGAAAGATAATTCAGAACTTATGTAGGTTGGCTTTTACCAACACATACGAATCTGTGGGCCACCTTAAAGATTCCATATTGAATTGAACTTTTATTTCAGTTTGCTTCAGACTGCTGACACCCAGTGGTTTCTTAACATTGTATTCTTTGCCTTTAAATGTTAAAGTTTTGGCAAATGACTACATTCTTATCAATTAATGTGCAGACAAATGTCCTAAAAGTTCATACCAATAAAACCAGTCTGAGTACTTACATTTCTGAAGTTCATTGCTGCCAAAAACATCTAAAAGAACTCGTGTTTTGAAAAGTCTATTGGCAAGTTTAGACGCGAGGGCATGTTGGGACAGATTCCCTCTTCTGGAGTGGGTCTCAGGAGCAAGTGATGACAGCCTTGTTGGTGTAATCGAGGTTTTGAGGACACGAGATCTGTCGCACTAATTTGGATTTTGGCATTCTTCACCTTCCAAGTCATGCAGTTTGAGGTTTAACAGTTTTTACTTGTGCATGTTAGCATTACAGACGGCAGTCATACATTGCATACATATGATATCAGTCCACATTCATGAGAATCCAGAACTGGAAAAAGTAAATGGCACAAATAGAAATGTGTCTGCCAAATATGGAAAAATCTTGGCTTAACCAGGATTTTTCAGACATTCTCAAGCTGTCAAAATCAGACAAAAACAGCTGGAGGAAGCAGGGGAGAACAGATGTCACAGTCAGTGCATAGAAAATCAAGACTGCATGCTCAAAATTAGTTCGGCTGTTAACATCTGTCCTACTCTTCAGTGTTGTAGGTTAAGTGATTACAGTTTGGACTTGTTTGGCACCAACTCCACACTGCTCTCCCAGTCTTCTGTTTTTATGAATTGACTTCACTTTACTCTTCTTACTTTATTTTGAAAAATAGATTCCTCCATGTACACTCAAGCCACTTTTAAAACAGACCATATCTTAAATTCTGCTTATTTGTTTGTGTTTTTCTCAGAGGACAAAGATTCTGATGGCAAAGAGAAAAAGTCCAAATCAAAGGAAAAGGAAAAAAAGAAAGAACCAGCTTCAATGTTCATGATAAATGGAGAAAAGGAGTCTAAAAGCAAAAAGAAAGGTGATTCAATTTTCAATGTTTAAACTGAATCAATTGCTTGAATTTAAATTCATAACAATATGTAACAATATCTTAGTTGACTACAATGCATTCCAGCATTGTCCTTGCAAATAAGTGACATTTCTTCCCAATTTATAGAATTAAACTAAAGTCCTTTCTTACTTAACAGCTGCCAAGTCAGACAGTGATAGTGAAGAAGAGAAAAAGTCAACCAAATCAAAGAAAAAATCCTCCTCTGGTTCTGCATCCATGTTCCAGACATCAGCAGATAAGGACAAAGAAAAGGAAAAAGACAAGAAGTCAAAGAAAAAAGGTATGTTTGCTACAAACCTCCTCCTCTGCTTGAGCCTGTGCAATGTATGTAATGTAATATATTATCTCCTTCAGCAAAGGCAGAAGAGAGTGATGAATCTGATTCGGAAAAAGAAGAAAAGTCTAAGAAGAAGAAAGGCAAAGGCAAAAAGAAAAAGGTATCTTAAATCTCATTCAAGCCATTATGTGTCCCATTACAGAGACAGAGGGATATTTGATCTATTTTAAAGTTTACTGTGCAGTATAAATTAACTTATTCAATGCACTTTACCAGGAGAGATCTCCCTCGCCTGAGATTGAATTTGACAACTTGGAGAATTTTGTGATGGAGCCAGCTCCACAGGGTGTGACTGTCAAATGCAGAGTGACCCGGGACCAGAGAGGGGTGGACAAGAGCCTCTACCCTCTGTATTACCTTCATCTAGACAATGAAAAAAAGGTTGGTTTTGTTCTGCTGAATTGCTAAGTTCATATAAAGTGGAAACAGCCTCTCCATAGTGATATAAAGTTACCAAATGTGTTACCACTTGGCATTTCCCTCCATTTTCCTTTTTGTAGGTATTGTAGGGTTGATGCCCTGATTGTGGATCAAAGAGCAATAGGAACCTAGCCATCCAAGAGACCCTTAAGCCTTTGGCTTAAAGACCACCGCTTTCTGATTCTTAAAGAAAATGTGTCTTATGCCTACAGTTTAGGACCAAAGGGAGAAATTAAGATCAGGCCTTTTGTTTCTTGACCAAGATCCATAATTTACAGCATGTTTAGCAGACAACTCCACCTGTTCTCATTCTGGTCTTCTCTCAATCGAGCCACTCTGTTCACTTTAAACTCAGAAGAACAATCCTGCTGCAGTAGGGAGCGGATTTCACCGTTTACATATTTTACGGTATCACAATAAGCAGGATCAACAGGATTATCAACCAAATACGGTTTGTTGTAATCTGACACGTCTGCTCGTCTTTCTCATTGGTCTTTGCAGACGTTCCTTTTAGCTGGGAGGAAGAGAAAGAAAAGCGCAACTTCAAATTACCTCATTTCAATTGATGCCACAGACTTATCAAGAGGTGGTGAGAACTTTGTTGGAAAACTGAGGTACACTGCTTTTAAAAAAGAAAATCAAAAGCAGTAAAAAAAAAAAAAAGTTTTAAAAAGGGTTTGTTTATAGTAATTCTCTACAATACATTCCACAGGTCGAATTTGATGGGGACTAAGTTCACTGTATTTGATAATGCTCTGAATCCCGAAAGAGCTCTTCCAGATTTGTCCAATGCGCGACAAGAATTAGCAGGCATCATCTATGTAAGTCACCTCCTAGCTCGTCCTTCATCCCAAGTATTTTCTTGGAATACTGATGGATTTATCTTGAATTGCCTTTTATTCGTGTCCCAGGAAACAAATGTCTTAGGAATAAAAGGGCCAAGACGGATGACAGTCATCATCCCGGGCATGAATAAGGACAACGAGAGAGTCCCACTCAGACCAAGAAATGTAAGATGCATCATCAACACAAAAGAATAACAGACAACACGAGTCAGCGGGGAGAACACAATCACACGCAAACAGCCCATCACATGCTTCATGTTTAGAAAAGTTAAGGAAAGAAAAACCCTGCAGAAAGCTGAACTCTTCATTGTATGCTGTGCATTGTTACTCTTTATTTTATGAACTTTGCAAGTACAGAACATTTTGGCAGCTTCTACGACTTGTAAAGTCTCACAATTTTATTAACTCATTATGTAATTTTCATCAGGTGAGAGTTCCAGAGCTTAATAGGTTTTTTTAACTCGTCAAACCTTGTGGTAACAGTTAACTACCATGGGAGCAACTGATTGAAGATCTGTAAATTACACCAGCTGAGTCCTACAAGGCAGGGGAAGGCTATAAAAAGATATGAGAACACTTAAAATGTGCAATTACCACAGTGCAAAATGTCATCACTTCAGAGTTACTTTGTAAGTCAGGACAAGTTTGAAATATCAAGCAAATGTGTGTGCAAAACCGCAGTTACGTTTAGCTGAACGGCAGAGGCAACGCATATTTTTGCATCTGAAATTTAGTGCCATGTGTGAAAATCTGAAGCTGAAAATGTGTTGGGCCAAGACTGAAAGCAAGCAGAAACTTTAGTCTCAGCTTTTAGAGTGACCTTAACAGCCATACTGTACACTGACAGAGTTTGAAGAACAGTGAGACGCGCCCTCGTGGCTCAATAATTGTATATTTTCAGGTAAACCGGGCAGAAATTTAAAGGGGTTTGCATTTAAACGACAGCTCATTGAACATCTGCTGGTGTTGCGATTCACTTCTCTTTTCAATAAAAAAAAAAGAAAAAAGCACCGTACAAAAATACCACCACAAAGAGGGAAACTCACACACACTTGGAGTTTGATTTACGGCCTGTTAACTACGGTTGGTGAAATAGTTTGATTCCTTTTTGATGTTCGCTGACTTATCTTTTGCCAACTGTCCACAGGATTGTGACGGCTTGTTGATAAGGTACCAGAATAGAAGGATGGACAATTTGATTGAGCTGCGCAACAAGACGCCTGTGTGGAATGAAGACACGGCGTCTCATGTGCTGAACTTCAACGGCAGAGTCACCCAGGCCTCCATCAAGAACTTCCAGATAGTCCACAACAAAGACTGTGAGTACTTAGGTCGATGAAACACAAAGAAGCCTACTAGCAACACCCAAGTAAGAATATAGATGCAGAAGATTCAATTTAAATCATTAAGTAGACCGGGAATAATCGCCTCATCACTAAGCACTTTGAAATGAATATCTATCTGCTTATCACTCTGGCTAAACAGCTGTTTTCTTTTACCAGTGGACTACATCGTGATGCAGTTTGGACGGATAGCCGATGACATTTTCACGCTGGACTACAACTACCCAATGTGTGCCGTGCAGGCCTTCGCCATCGCCCTCTCCAGCTTCGATGGCAAAATTGCTTGCGAATAATCCAGAGGTCTTCATCTTATAATTTAACGCTGGAGACGGAACGCTGCAAGCTCTCGCACACATCAGACCACTTCATCTCTTTACACTCGCTTACGATGATCCTTTGAACTTTGAACCTTTCTCCAAGGCTTAAGAAACATATACTCAGTGGTCTGGCATCATGCCATTTTGTATGGAGAGTTCTGTTTTCTGTTTTGATGGAAAAAAAGTATGAGTGAACCACAAAACAACACACCGGACTCCGAAAGACTCCAGTGAGTGGAGAGGCATGAGGTTTTGGAGGGATGATGGTAAACCTTGGTGATAAAGGTCTTCATGAAGATGTTTTTGCTATGTTATTCTGTAATGTAATGTGTTTCTGTGTAGAGCCAAATTCAAAGGGTCTCAATTTCTTTTCGGTGTCACGTTTGCTCTGACATGTAAACACACCGTAACACTAGCACCTGTTCTCTTTGTGGCAAAAATGTGGTTTTGTTTTGACTTAAGCTTTCAGACTTTACTGATAATTACTATGAAAGCATAACTAATGATGTTATATTTATGAGAAGTCTTTAACAGCTGTCCGACTCCATGAGCTCCCCAAATGTAATAAAACTGCCTCAGGTGGCAGGCATTCTAAAAGTAACCAGCATGGAGGAAATCTAACTAATATTCAAAGACACGAGTTTGGTTTTTCAGGCAGTGGTTCACTGGTGTGACAATTCAGTCTGTTTATCTGTCTTTTTCAGATACCTTGACTGGTTTGAGTTTGTGTGGTGTTTTTCTATTGACATGATTTTGGTCACAATTTTGTAAAAATTCATGTCCTTTCCTGAACATTGCCTTTGTTGCATTTCTGTGCTTACTGTATCAACGCAAGTGAATTAAATCTCATTTAATTTGATCTGTTTTCTGTAAATATATATATATTTTTTTTTAAACGTTAGAGTCCTATCCACAAGATTTAGAAGTTCTAGAATATGTTTTACAACTAAATCATTTGCTGTGAGCAGGCAGCTGGCAGATAATCAGACAGATTCCAGCTGCAGGTTTTAGAGACACCCACGCTCTCCTTCAGCAGCCTGACATGTCGAGAGGAGCCTCTCGCAGGAGGCAAAACCTGTTTGAACCGAGGGCCCTCAGCGTAAGTGAGAGGTGTGTATTCTGCCTGAACCTGCTCAGGCAGTTGTTCAAACTCGCAGGTTAAATGAAGCCCGAAGCTGGCGGCTTTTCTTGAACAGATGCGGTAAGGTGAGTCCCCCCCCCCCACCCCACACCTCTACCATTATGTGTTTTTGGTGCATAACTCAAAGCAAAACTCCTGCCATCACAATACTATTGAACTGAGTCATTTCACGGCATGTGTGTGTAAAACCTTATTATATGTGTCTGTGATGGACACGAGGATAACCTCAAAATGATGCAATCATGTTGTTGTCCAACAGAAGGAGCTGTTGCTGGAAGGAAATATCTGCTGAGCTTATTTGTGCTGTGTGACACACTCCCAGTTATTGTAGGATTGTTTTTTTTTTCTTAGTTCAGCATACGTTTGAATATGAGCTTTTGAACAACTGTGAAAAGTGTGTATTAAGTATTTACGGTGTATCAAGCAAAGGAAGAAGTTGCTGATGAATAAATCTGCATATGAAGAATTGCATACCATTTCATGGCCTACTACAAAATATGAAAACAAAAAACATTGTGCTTTTAGCACTGATTATTCACAGGAGAACATCACAAATGGGAAAACTGGACATTTCTGGAGACCTCTGACATAGACATTTTGAAGGGGAGAAACATTTACAATTTCATTATAAAGTGGTATTTATCTGAACTTTATATTCGTCTATATCTCTGTTTGATTTCTCAGAATTGAACCTGAATGATTTGGCCATTTCAGCATCATAAATTTGAAACACAGAACCACACTTTAGATCTTTAAGTCCACCATCCTTGACAACAACTTAGTGTAAATGTGCATTTAATGCTTATTATGTTTGTTTGTTTGTTTGTTTGTTTTTCATACTTACTGTAAGAAAATGTTCAGACATTAGTTTTGGTATCCATTGTCAACCAAATTTTTAGTATCCTTTGTAAACCAAATATTCAATGCTTTAGGCAGTGTGGGTTTAGTTACTATACGAGAGTGGATTACTTGTAGAATTATTAAACAAAAGTTGATGTGATGTGGCAGTTACTTAATCTTTAAAAAAAAAAACTCTAAACAAATATATGAGCTTTTGTTATTATACTATTTATTACTAGTTTAAACCTGCATTTATTGACATTATATCGAGGCACTCTTAGCCTCGGGTAAATGAATCTCACAGGAAATTATTCCAAGTCTTTAAAAACACTTCTATTTGTTAGCGTTGTTGTGCGTTTGACTGCAAAGGAAAAGCCTCAAAACACGTTTGGAAATGTGTTTTTTTTTTTTTAGATCTTCCGGGATAAGCGCTGGTTGTTTTTGCTGTACCTTTATAGCCGTAACGCGCCGGTCCGCGCGCGCCGTCGGACAGGTTTCAGACAGGAAGCTCCAATCAGTGCGCGGACACTTTGTGGGCGGGGCCAGCCTCGCGCTCACAGCCCCACGCGCCCGTTGATTGACGCGCGCCACTGGCTCCTCCTTGAAACGTCTTTTTTCCCCCCTCCCCCTTCGTTTTCCAGTGTAGTGCGTTGATTTCATACCAAAGTCATACTTAACATTCCACTTATACTGTCAAACCTCTGAGAAAATATTACGGGAAAACAACAAGGCGCCAAATTATAACAAAGTTGCTCAAAAAGAGCAGCCGGTCTCGCTGGGGAAGAAAACGGTGACTGCCAGAATAAGAAGAAAAAAAAAGGTAAGTTCTCCACAAATGTTCCCTCTTTCTGTCCTCAGCCTTAACTGGGGAGTTTTTTCATGCCGCTCGTCTCGGTGAAGTTTTCAGATCATTGTCATTTTTCACATTTTTCCGCGGAGCTGCCTGCGTTGGGAGGGAAGGAAATATGTGGAGATTGATACACAATTGTGTTAGACTTTCCCACTGTGCAGGGATATCTTTGACAGCCTCTGTCCAATCTTATTTCTCCCGGTAGCCCAATACCGCTCATTGGCACCCCACTATTACAAGAAAAAAAAAAAAAGGCCTTTCTTTTGACAGAAGAAAAACTTATGGCCAATATGTTTGTTTTTTGTCTCGCCCAGTTTATACCTGGATCCAGCACCTCGGCCCCGAGCAACAGTTATGATAAGAAGTGGCACAAAGACACGGTAAAACGATTTTGGAGGAATAACTTCAGACTGGTTTTGGACCTCTGCATCCCAGAGGTAAGACAAGATCCTCATTTGTCAGCGAAGTCTTCTTTGTTAGTTCATCAACTCGGCAGAGGCTCGATTTGATAATATGTAAAGATGGGTTTTCTCCACAAGACACCAAAAGTGTTCCCAGTTTGTTTTTGTTTTTCCTCTCTTTTTAAATACGTCTCAGCAGAGATTTTTTTTATCTGCTGAATCTACTTTCTCTTTAGTTTTCTCTCGATGTTTAACATTGAATAGGCTTGACAGTTACCTGTTTTCCCATTTTAGCTCTTTGCAGCTAAAAGCAACTCAGATGGCAAAACATTGATGAAAAGATGAATAATAATGATGTGGTTTGGGTCATAGTCACATATCCAGACCCCCCCCCCCCCTCCCCCTTCTCTCTCTATGTTTATGGAGCTACCCTTTTCTTTTCAACTGTTTTTATTCATGCAAGTTTACAAACTGGATTCTGTACAGTAGCTGCCATCATGCAGATTAAATGTTACTTAAGAAAGTAAATATTCATTGTTATTTACCATCCAGTGATTCATTTTCTGTAAAATCCCCTCAGATATTAGCTTCCTAGTATTGGGGCATAGTTACAAAATGTTCAGCGTGTTTATGATTAATGCCTCCCTCAGTTATAACTCAGACTTTTTACATGGCATGTGGTTTATCTACGCATTTCTTCCCTTCTACGTGATGTCTTAGCTGTGAATCTATTTTTTTCCCCGTCCAAACAAACAGGACCTGTGATGATACTCTGCAAAGTCCCCCTAAGTACATAATTCATAGGTGAGGATTTGAGATACATGGATATGTAGCAGGCTAATTGTTTAATGATATGAGCGCGACCTCAAGCTACACCTGCTTTCAGCCCCCGCGTGCGCTGGGTGAATGCAGACTTTGGCAGAGTTGGCTGTTTTTTGTGGGGGGGGGGTTTCGAAAACGCAAAAGGGCCGCGTCCTCCATGCATCCAGCCTCCCGAGCTGAACCGCTGCCAGTCAACAGGTTTGACTAAAACAGCAGAATGCAGTCTGTCAAGTCGGCGACAGTGAGCGGCAGAACCTGTTAACCTTCCGCCCGGGTTTTAATAGTCACTTCTCAAAACCGTACTCGTTCTCTCTACGCTTTCGCATCTCTGCGTGGATGCCAGAGCCCCGCTGGAAGCAGGCCGCTGTTCTGCCCGTGTTTTTCCTCAGAATGGATGTCAGCTCGCACACGGGGGCTTTTTTGGTGTGGTCTTTGAAGCCCTTCTATAGGCTTCGGCCACAGTCTTTTTGACACAGCCCAGATAAGGATAATGATCAGACATGGCCTGGCGTGGCTTTTTCCCCCCCTCTCCTTCGGTCACGTCGGGTTATGGCTCAAATTCACAGTCTACCGTTTTAGCCCCCGTCGAGAAGCACTTTCGATTAACATGTGGAAATGATGTTCTAAAATGAAACCGTCCACCAGAACGACCAAACAATGTGTCCTTGGTAAATAAGCCTAGCCAAGATGCCTAATAATAGATTTGATGCTGATGGGTAAATCTGGAAAGGATTAAGCTTTCTGCTGCTCTGACAGATTCCCCTTCTTTGTTTTTAAGCAGCATGAATGCATCGGCCGGCCCGCGTACAATGTGCTCTTTTCTTTTCTTGCATATACTTTATGTTTTCATCCATAGTAGATTAAGGGCATTTGCTCAGCTGTCGTGTGAGGGAGTTAAATGCAAGTGGAAAGTTTTACAACTTTACCCATGTCTAAGGGGTCAATTAGATTATTTAGGGTAATATCCCCTCAAAACGACTGTTGTCTTTTTTCTTTCAGGCCCCAGCTGTGTTCCTCTAGGCTGTTTATTAGAGAGACTTAATGAGCGTGTGTTCTCTTCATGAGGCTAAAAGAAAAAAATCCTTTGATTATTTAGGCTTTTCTTTTTTTTGTGCGTGTAAAACTCGGTCGGAAAGCTTCGCTGTCGGCATCGGAAATCACTGGTGGTGTGTGGCCGCCGTGCATCCTCGGTTTTTGTGCGGCGGCCTGTTTGCTTTGGATGCAGGTCTGTTGACCGTTTGTCCCTAGCAGCTTCGCTCGTTTGTGTCAAACCCACAGAAGAGCGGCTAATGAGCTTTTGCCCATTTGTGCAGACATTGGCCGCTTTTTAGCACCATCCCCAGAAGTGCTCGTCCAAATGGTGTACACTTACCCCTCTGTTGAGCCAGATCTGAACAAATACCACTTATGTCTGCACGGTGAGGACACAGAGGGCCTCAGAGAAAAGCCTGCAGCTCTCAGCAGAAGGGCATTAATGGCAATCTGGAATACAATATGCAGTTTGACACTAACAAGCCGCGGCTGGGCCGAGGATGAATAACATAATGTGCCACGATCTGTTTGTTACAGCGCTACATTTAAACAGGAAAAGTGCTACATTTCAATCCTAAGTCTTTCTTTGAACGCAGACAAGCCACGTCACTATGAGTCCCCCACTAACGCAGTTTATCAACATTGTATCCACATTCATACATTGCACATGTTTACATTTCCTCCAGGCCATCACGTTTTAACAGATAAGCTCTCTGGCTCCTTGTTCCGACCACTCAGGGGAGGAGCCCGGGGAGTGGC